ACCCATCGCCCCTCTCCGCCCGCCCCCGGGGAGCGCCTGGCTCCCTCGCCCCGCTGACCTGCCCGCGGGCGGCTGTGCTGTCCCCGGAGCCATCTTGTGTCCTGCAGGGCGCAGGCCCCGGCGCCCCGGCCTGTCCTCGCAGCTGGTGCGCCAGCACCTCAGCATCGTGGCAGCCTGGCGCTGAACACGGGCAGGGCTGCTGCAAGGGATTCCTCCTGCTCAGCTGCAGGACGCTGCACGTGTCCTTGAGTTTCTTCTGGCTCCTCTTGGCCCGTTTACGCAGCCGGTGGAGGTGCGGTGCCTCAGGACAGCAGCTCTCACCCCCAGCGTGAGCTGCTCGCAGGTTGCATTCGCCTCCTCCCTCCCCAGGTTGCCCAGGTGGGCAGAGGCTGGCAGGCTGAGCCTGGCTCTACACTCAGAAGTGGAGGATCAGTGGCTTTTGGGCAGCTATTTGGAAAGTCCCCCAGACTGTTCTTTATTTCAATGGGTATATAGGCACCCCTGTATATAGCCGTCACCACCCTTTTGGCTGTGGTCAGAATTACGCAACTGTTGATGGCCATGAGTGCTAGTGGCCTTGTATGTTTTCATCAGGCTCTTGGTGGACTGAGATCGTCTGTCTGTGTGGTTTTAACAAGACCATCAGTATCCAGAGCTTCTGAGTTCTTGGGAGTGACACGCTACCTTCACAGCGGATGCTTTCCTGCTGTTTTCTGATAACTGTTTCTCCATCCACATCCATAGATACCTATACAGGCTATTCACACAAACTCTCACAAAAGCAGCCTTTACAACACTTCCCCTGGAGTGGGGACAAATGGAAGGAAGACCTGGTAGTCTCTTAAAATATTGAGGGACAGAATGAAAACACACATTTCATATGGTATGTGAAGACAATGCTTATTTTCATGTAAGAAACTGATGGGATTTACTGACTACTGGGGTTGCCATTTAAAAGAATTAAATAATGGCCAAGTCACAACATTTACATTGGATTGATGCACCTTCAGAGCCATAGTGTAGATTTGCACCCACCTACAAAACTGGAGAAAAGCTGAATGCCTCTGGCACGTGGTCCCTAAAGACCCAGATGGCACAACATATACTCTCCCCAGGACTGGAGAGACTGATGGATTTAGATGATAAATCACGTGTACTTTCTGGACCAAGATCATAACTACTTAGAACAGTATTAATCCCTTCATGCTACAAAGCCAGCTTCAGATGGTCCTCCTGTGTTCACTCTCTTGCTGGGGTAAGGCAGTATATCTGTTCAACTGCTACCTTTGCAGGGCTGTCTTTCAGACATGGTCCTAGCCACTGCCACAGGACAACAGATCTGGTCCTGAAGCAATAAAGGGAGCTTCAACATTCAGTCCGTCATGTGGCAACTCTTCTGCTCTCAGGCTGCTGGCATGAAGGTGTTGGTTGTGGTGGTAAAACTGATTTCCTATTAGCATGATCATAGGACTTGATGGCCCCAGGACATATCCTCTGATTAATCAGAGTTGATTTGTTAGTTTATTTGTGCAGGCATCTGTAAATAAGAAGCCAGAAATGCTGATTATTCTTCTTTGCAGCTGTTAACAATGCTCTCTTGAGTTTTCTGATCAGAAATGCATTTTTTCCAGCACTGATTGCTGTCCAAGTGATAGTTCTGATCTAATGTAGTTGATAGCAGTTGCCTGAGAGTCCTACTTTGCTGAATAATTGGAATACAGTAGTGTGATTAAAGCTGCACTGCTCCGAGATGCTGATTTTGCTAGTCTGATCTGTGACATATGCCTTCCAGCACCATCTGATGCAGCACAGGGAAATGGAAGCCCTGGGGAAATTCAGATAACCTCCAAGGGCACCAGGAATCAGATATGAAATCATGCCACTACACTTGTTCTGTGTTGAATTGGAGTGCAAAAGACAACTAAAAACAAAGGAATAATTATTTCTGGAGCATAGGTTTGCTCAAATGTTTCTCCAATAGGAGATCCTGGGGCTAGCAATGGAGTGAAGTTCATAAGCTAAGTTCACATGCTCAGCGCCCTCGAGCATCAAATATGTAAGGCAAATTTGATGGGTTATGTGCTAGAATCTTGGTATCTGTCTACAGACTGACACTAGTTTGGAGGGTTAGACCTGGTCTTTAAGGAGTTGTGATAAGCACACACACTGTGTGGTGCTGCCTTTTGTCTGGCAGTAACTTTTGAACCCACTTTTAGCCAAATGAGACACAGGAGGGGACCTCTAAAAACCTTGGGGTTCCTACAAACATTGTGAAAATTAGGAATAGGTTAAAGAGACCCCAACTGAGGTGGGTTTGGGAAAGGCCATAGCCTGAGATCAGCGGGCAGCCTGTGCTGTGCAGCCAAGCAGTGTTGTGTAGCTCAAGGCCAGCACAGCATAGATGGCCGCTTTCCCAGGCAGCAGTGAAGAGGCAGGGAGGGATGATAGAAGCAATAAGGAACAGATCTCAGGGGTTATCAGAGACTGATACTGAGAGTTGAACAGAGACTTGCAGCAAAGAGCTGTGAGGATACCAACCAGAAAACTCTGAGAAATAAGGTTTTGCTTGGTTCATGCAACAGTTTGGGTTTTCTCAGCAGAGGCGTAAACCTGATCTCCTGTGTCCTGGTGTTTATGCCAAACTGACGGTAGTTTTAGCAGCATTGGGGGTTTTACACTTTTTCCTGAAATTCCTTGCTGTGCGAGTGAGCTAGTACTAACATGCACAGAGGGCTTGGTATACTGAAGCATGGGAGCAGGTTAATCACCTGATGTTTGCATATCTTCTACTGTGGGTACCAGCAGTGGGACTGCAGTGGGACGGTGAAGTGATTCACACAGGCAGCGGCCAATGCAGCTCTGAAGGGGACTTACTCTCACTGCCTACCCTGAAGCCTCCAGCTTTTGTTGCCTAACAAAAAAGTGCAGCTCTAGATGGAGCCAAAATGGCAACTGAGAGCTGCTGCTGGAAGCTTCTTCGCTTCATTGATTTAATTGCCTACGTGGGGCACCCACACTGATAATTTAGGTCATGAATACAACCTGGTGATGTTGCATCAGAGAACTTTCATAAAACACTCTGTTTAAGACTGAGCCAGTTCAGGGATGATTCATCTTTGTTCCTGCAAACAGATGCTGGTTTGGGCACTTTTTGTGTGCCCTGTTGGAATTATGCAATGATGACATTTTTCTGGGTAAACAAGCCACTCCTTTTCTAGCTTCACTGTACAAAAATAGGTGTTCTGATTCCTTAGGCACCCTACAGTCCTTCCTGGCAGCTCTTTCAATCTAATTCAATCTTTTTTTTCACTTGGGAGGCCACAACTATATGTATTATTCTGAGATCTCATTGAGGCCTTGTGCAAAGGTGTTCATAATTCAGAGATTCTTCCTCTTCCTGTAGGATCTATTCCACCACACCCCCATGTCCCAGAGGGATAATTTTCACCCACCATTTATTTTGGCCATGCTATGTTTTATTTTCTTACAGTCAGCCACTTCAGTGATACACTGTGTTCTCTTCTGCCTTTCCTACCGCTGACCTTACACAGCAATAGTTGCAATGTAGTCATTACTGTTCCTCAGTGGTTTTGGTTTTCCTGGGAAGTCCACTTCTACATACTCTTATTTTACATACCAGGATCCTTTCTTGATAAAACACTTCAGTTGCTTTTGCCTCTTCTCCAAGTTGTCTCCTGTTGGAGTTAGCTGACGAGCACCTGCCAGCTTCTGGTTTTGCCACCTCCCAGTTCATATGCATTTAATTTGTGTGGGCTACATGAGTTCTCATTACTTCTTTTATTCAGCATTCTTTGGTAAAAACTGCTGTAAAATTGAAATAAATCACTAGGAGAAAGGTGTTTGCCTTTTATTTATTAGTGTGGAAAAAAACAGATTTTCATAGCAGGCTGAAATATTAATCTTTCTGCTGCTGATTGAAGACAGTATCTGCTTTATGGTCTTATATGAAGGTTAGCAGCAGTCTGTGTCAAAAATGGAGTCTGAGTTATCAGCTGTTCTTTGGCTTCAGAGAGAGGAGTGGATAAATTGCACTTCAGATTTCTCTGAGTGGCTTCATATGCCACGAACTTCCTTTACATGAAAGACAGATCTCTGTAAAAAAGGAAATAAGCTTTTCTCAGCCCCCAGAAGGATTATATTTCTGGTGCCACATTGAACATTTTCCAGAGTGAGTTTTAAATGGCAACATTAAAAAAAAAATGCCTAAAGAGGAAAGCTGTAATTCCTGCCAGCTAATTTCAACCAACTAATCATCTAGTGTAAGCTTGTCATCTACACAAGTGAGAGATGGGCTTGTCCAGAGAGCTAAAAACTTACTTCAGAGATCTCTCCTAGGCAGGGAAGGGCCAAGCCAATTCCGTGAACTGAATCTTAAGTTAGGCAAGATGAATCTAAAGGGTCTAACAAACAGCATTGTTCAGCTTTTGGGCACTTGCTAAACAGAGTGTTACAAACTACTCATTTTGACAGCAGCATCTTAAAAAATGGGCTGTCTTATCAGCTGGCGTTGACTTTGCCATCATTCCACTCAGCTTACTTGGGGCTGTACCACCTGGGCATGTGATCAGCTCCCAGTAATAACATTGTGATGGACCTGTCACCCTTCTGAGAAGGTCCATGGTTAAAATCCCCTGCTGGGTTGTAGTCATGGTTGTTGATATTAGATTTGTGAAGGTTTATAGATTTGGTTGTTGGTTTCACTTCTCAAACTAGTAGCTGCCTGACAGAGCCATCTGCTTTTCACCTTTCTTGGCAAGTCTGAGGAAGGACCAGAGGGTAAATATGGTGGTTTAGGTCTTTTTTAATACAATGAGAAGCACTTCAGCCGTGATGAGTTCATAGATCCCTGGTTTAACAGTTCGGAGTACTTCTATACCAGTATTTCAGCAGTGCTTTACTTCTCAGCACTCATTCGGAGGGTTTGTGAACAGTCTGCAACCCACTGGCCAGGCAGCTCAGGGCTATATACAGTTTGTGACAACCTGCCTTATGATCTGTTACATGTCCTGTGCTTATCACGGCAACAGACACATGTGCAGAGACCCCCACTGTTGTCGAAGTGCATCCACCAGTGGGGCTAAAGGAAAGGAGAAGCAGAAAGGAGTAGAGGAGGGAACACAGGGCATGTGTGCACTGCCAAGCTGACAATACAGATTTCCAGAACAACATGATTTTCTTAATTTGTGAGGAACTAGGTGAAAGAACTGAAGCCATCAGGGCATGATGGATGGAAAAGCAATTGTTAAAACTAGATGTGCTTTTTCCTTTGCCTTGTTCCCTTGACAGGAGGAATGAGAGAACTCAGAGAACCTGCTGTGCACCTGGAAGCTTGTCAGCTTTTCCCAGTTAGACCTAATCCAACTTTTTGACCTCCATCTGGGATCTGCTGTACAATCAAATGGGAAAGAAGTGAAAAGGGATCTATCTGTGCATTACCAAGACTCTTTGCAAACCAGCCCTTGCCCACTCTACCTCTACCCTCTGTCACTCCCCTCTACCCTCTGTTGTATTTCTCTTCTGTTCTCACTTGATCATGTCCAGGGTGTGTTGCTAGGTGCAGGAGCAGTGTCTTTTCCCCTGCCAGACCCGTGCCATGGTACCTAGTTCACCTTTTCCAACTGCAGTCATGTGCTGGAGTACAAACATCCCCACTGCAGCAGGGAATCACAGGCAGGGGGTTTGCTGCTGTCAGCAAGGTGTGGGTGAATTATTTGTAGTTCT